GCAGTTACCCTCAACAAAAGAACTGAAACAATTATTATACAAATATTATTTATTTATTTATTTATTATAATTATAAAATTTAATAACTCAAATAGGAAAAAAACGAACTTTAGGCCTTCAGTTCTGATATTAACAACTAAATTTATTAGCTATTATCAGCTGATATTATACATGGTTTATATCGATTCATTCGATTCATTGAACCAGCAATTTAATATAAAATTTTTCCATACAAGAAATTTATAGAAAAGATTTCAGTTTAATATAAAGAAATATATATCAACATGGATCATTCTCTTACTAGCGGCACGGATGTTGACAAAAATTGACGTCATCACCTCAGAATTGGTTTAAACATCTTTTGAACAGTTCCATTTTTAAAATAAAAAGACAAATTACTCGGAAAAAATATTTAAGCTTAAAATGTTTTTTACCGATAATATCTCTTAAATCATGTTTTCACTTGAAAGTGAAGTAATAATCTATAACTATAAGTTATACTACCAGATTAAGTACCATAATAATTGATTATCCAATTCATGATTTGGACTTGGCAGTACTATTTCAGCCACATACGTCAAACACAATTTTTAATCAAAGGATTACGCGTTTAGTTCAGGGTTCGCCAATTTACAATTTACAATATCAAGATCCTGATCAATTAGCACTAAAGCTATAAAAATTGTGGACTCTTTACAAAAATATTGATTCTAAAGTACCGCTAAATTTTTTCATGACAAGGCGTAATTTAACGGATGTATTAACTGACAAAAATGTCACAACTAGGATTAAGTATCGAAGGACCATTGCATCCACAAAAAGTAACATTTGATTTACTGCTATGATACTCCTGTCAATACTGATCATAATTTCTTGACATATGGTACAAATTTTAGCGCCATCTGTCAATTAGTTTGTTTACAGCAGCTATTAGTGTGAGACTACCTCAAGAGCATTTAGCGATTTTTACTATGGAAAATTCTTGTTATACGCGATTTTTTGACCAAACACGGCACCGGCACCACTGTCATCGCTCAGGCACCATATTCGCCAGATCTGGATCCGTTCGACTTTTTCCTGTTCCCGAAACTGAAATTACCCCTTCGTGGGGTAACGTTTTGAGTCGATTGAATCGATAAAAGAGAATTCGTTGAAGGAACTAAAAGCCATACCTTCACGGGTCTACGAAAAGTGTATGGAAGATTGGGTTAAGCGTTGGCAAATGTGTATCGCTTCAGAAGCAGCATATTTTGAAGGAGATAAAACAAATTTGGAATAAAATTTGAATTTGTGTACTTTGTGTATTTGTGTAAATCCGTACTTTTTGAGCAGAAGGTATATTAATGTATCAATTTGATTAATATCTCAATTACAAGTATGGTTTTTATAAATTAGCGATTTCTAATGCGTGACATTAGAGGCATTAGAGATAAATGGGTAGAGTGGTGAGATTCTAAAAAATCATCCTCATCTAAATTTGAGACACACTTATTTCCACAGTTTCTCGCAAAGATTTATGAAAGGAAGGGCGGGCTTGCTTAACTTATTTACTTATAGTGTACTCTAAAAATGGTTTGTTCAGATTTTAAAGTCTGGATCTAATTGATCCATTGATTACATATTTTATATTTGATTTGGCAAGTGGTGTTTTTTTTGTAAACCTGCCAAGAATATCACACGGATTATTATTTAATATTTTCTTGCGAAAATGAGTGATATATATATATGGTATATATATGTATTTGTGAAACAAGAAATAAATTGTTATATATTGATTTTATACTTAAAGGCATTCTTTGGTTTACTGATGCATATTACATTATGAATTGTACATTTTGTATTATAAAGAGCTTAACAGAAAATCAATTAATAATTAAGTTGGTGCTTGAGTGCTTTTGAAGTGTAATAATATACGCATAGTTGCAGAAATCTGATAAGGGATGGGAATAAAAATTGTGAAGGAATATTTTTAATGAAAAATTTTTAAAAAAAAATTTAAATCGATGAAAATAAAAAACAATTCAATTAAGTGGTGAGTATTTACTCGGAATGAAGTGGGTTCTTGTAAAAGAATTTAATTTTGTTTGATTTCTTTGGCCGCGACTGAGAGTGCGACTAGGAGTACGACTGGGAGTGCGACTAGGAGTACGACTGGGAGTGCGACTAGGAGTACGACTGGGAGTGCGACTAGGAGTACGACTGGGAGTGCGACTAGCAGTACGATTGGGAGTACGACTGGGAGTGCGACTAGGAGTACGACTGGGAGTGCGACTAGGAGTACGACTGGGAGTGCGACTAGGAGTACGACTGGGAGTACTAGTATTGTTGCTATACCAACTACGAGTATTGCTCCTGAATGCAAATGTCGCAAATACCATGTTTTGTTTGCTTAAAAAATGTTAAAAATAAAGTGGCAAAGCATGAAATACATACTACTGCGACAAATGCAATAAAGTACTTAATAGAGTATGTCTATGGCACAATCTTTTTGAATGGACACCATTTGTTCCTTTTTTTTGCCACCAAGTGGCTGGTAAAGTTTAAAATGAATGGAAAAGTTTGTTCATGCGTGCAGCCAGAATCAGGATATTATTTCCATACGGTGCAGTGAGAAAAGCGTTTTATTTATTTTTTATTTCTTTTAATTGTGTGAAATTTGAAGTGATTTTAAATATATTTAAGGATTAATAAAAACTCCATTAAATGTAGTTTTAAATTTTTATAACAGCTACAGTTGCTTTGATTAAAGTAAAGCCATTTTTTATTTACTTATATGCGTTAAATCGATAGTCTCGGCAATAAATACTTACGATATTTTTTTAAAAAATTCAAACTAAGTGAAATATAGATAAATTAGTATTTATATATATAAGAATAATATTTATTTTAATTTATTTATTTTATGCGTATGAATACAGTTCCAATGCAAAAATTAAACAAAACTAAAACTTCCATTTTAGCTTAAACCATAAAGTCCCTATAGCAAAGATTTGTCTGTATGATAAAAATATTATAACCGTTATTGAAATAATAAAAGTTTAAAAAACTCAAGAAAATCTCAAGGTATCCAATTCATCAACTTGTTACGTAGTCTTTTTGAGCTGAAATCTAACTATAATCTATTAATGTGACGGACAGAGTGTAAGTCATATATTTAGGTATATATAAATATTTTTTTGTATTTAAGAATTCTCTTCTTCGGTTTATCTCGATTATTTTATATTGAATCAGCTTAATTCGTTACTTAGCAGAAATCTAACAGAAATTCGTTAATGTGATGGATGGAGTGCAAGTTTTCTATACAGATTTACGAGTGCTCTTCGGTCTATTGAGATTTTAGGAACAATATAATTATAACAATTTCGATATTATATTTTATGATAGTTCATTTATACAAAATAGATACTAAAATGAAAAGGACTTTCTATAAACATCCTTTGGCAGTTACGTGGATCACCAATCCACTTCAAATTCAAATACTTATTACACCAGAGACGACTGCTCTAAGGTGCAGTTGCCTCTGGTAAAATCGAGATTCGAGATTTAATATTATTTATAACATATACATACATGTATAGACTTTTAAAAATTAAAGTTTTAGCAAAAACAATTAAATAGAATTGTCTAATCAATTTTTGTTTTTTAGCTGCTATACTTGTTAGGTCCTGCTAGCAAATCCTGTTAAGAATATAACTATCCGGAAAGTAAATCTTGGTCAGTGGAATATGCAGTACACACATATTAAAAAAAAAGTTAATTTAATTTTAATGAATTTTAATTAATATAAGAAAATAATATAAAAACTCTAAAATCTGTCAATAGATTTCCTTGGCTTTCAAAAAATTGAGATATTTTGTAAGATAGGATTTAACTTTATAAACGTCTCATAACTAATCTCTTAAAATTGGAATAGACAATAATTTTTGATTTATTCCATCAAAACTATTAATAGAACTAACGGTGTGGAACGGTGTATAGCGGTGTATATTCAAGATTTACTTTCCGGATAGTTATATATATATATATATATATATATATATTTATTTATATTTATATATATATATATATATTAATGTATATATAGATATATATTTCCGATGAACTCTAAATATTAGATTATATAAGGCTAAGTATTTTATTATAACAATGAATGTTGCGCCTCACATTAATAATAATATTAATATTAAAGAATATATATATATATATATACATATATTTATATATATAATTGTAAAATTTGACCTAACAGTTCTTACTAAGAAGTGGTTTAGCGTTTCTAGCCAATAGTTACTGTGTGAAATTGTAGCTGGCATTATTTACAGTCGTTGCTAGTAAAGAGTGCTTTAGCGTTTCTGTCGAATAGAGACTGCTTGAGATTAAAATTGGTATTATTTATAGTTGTTGCTAGAAAGACAGGGTTTAGGTTTTCTGACGGATACTTCGTGTTACGTATAGCATCATAATTTTTATGAAGTTGTTTCTTTAAATACTTGTATTTGATTAAATGCATATTCTGCAATCAAATACGTTTCGTCGACCTACCCACAAATATATTATATGTAACGTAAATGTACGTAAATGATTTTTATTAAAGCTAAGCTCTATAGGTTTGAAATTGGTCTTCCTTGTGAATCGGTCTCCGCAATTTTGTGTAAATTTTTGTTTGGTTCAGTCATTATAATATTTTATATAAGAAAAACATTATGTACTTTATAAAATACAATTAACTAAGACAGTATTAATATCGTGATAAGGATATATGTTAGTTTTTATATGTTTATATCGATATACGAATGCATTCATGGATGTTATCATAGCTCATCTATATCCGAAGTGTATAAAAAATTTTCTCAACTAAGTAATTTCATCTCTGCAGAGTGAATTAGTGACGAGAATTAATAACAGACTTTTAAGTTTGATTAAAGGATTTTTATTTTATTTAATTAAAATCTTTAGAGAAATGAGTTTAAGAATTAATTTTTCTTTAATTTTTCTTTTAGTGCGAGATCATTGCCATCGTCAACGAAGCGAAGGAGTCGATGTTAAAGCGCGAAAGAAACTCATCATAGCGAGTGTTTTATGTCTATTTTTCATGATTTGCGAAATTATTGGTAAGTTTATTAATGAATTGTTCTTATTCATTCATAAATTAAATAACTAAGAAGGAAGTCAAATGTAACAAACTTCTGCAACATGAAAAAAAAAACCAAGAAAAGGTATTTACTAAAAAATTGTTACAGCTTTTCCTTCCATTATCCATTCTGATTGAAGTTGAGAGCAATATTAATTACGTACGTTTTTTTTCCATTCTTTCCGGATACGGATGGAGCTCCCATATTGCACACTTTTTTGTTGCGAACTTTTTGGGTGATAAGCGGATTATGCAAAAAAAGGGTTGCTTAGATGCAGAAACAGCGTATGTTCCTTCTAAACTCCCTTCCACGATGTTTTCCTTTTAATTTGAATTTTTATTAAACACAATTCCTTTAATGACTTAAAATTCGTTCTCAGCTGAAAGTTTTAAAATTTCGTTGCCATTCCCCATATTTCAAAACTTTACAAAAATTTAGCACCAGACCTAAGTAAAAAAATGTTTCAATAAAACATAAACTGTTATAAGTTAACAATTTTTTTAAACAATGAAGAAGAAAAATATCTACATTTGCATTTAAGTAATTTCAAGCGATGTTCAAATGTTCAACGATTTTATCACTTCAGTTTTCAGATAATATTTAAAAATTTATATGAGGATGATAAGTTTTGCCTTTTCTGTCTTTTTAATCCTTCTAATGATTTGACAAATTTTTGTCCTTATTTACCTTTGATCTTTATGAATGTAAATCATTTTATAAATCTTCCTTTGTATGAAAAATTTTAACAACTTTTGTTGAATTCACATGGAAATTAATTAAGGCCCTCTATCCTGTATTCTCTGCCCTCTATAAATGCATTAAATTTCAAAAATTATGAATATTTCTTCCACTAGTACTTGGTCAGTGATTGAAATTCAACTTTTGTAGTCTTCCGGTTTTACGCAAGCAACAAGTATGCTAGTCCACAAACAAAAATATCTAGCGAAGCTAAATATTCCTAGATAGAGGAAGATTCTTATGAAACTTCTAAAGTTATTTGGTAATATTTGGGCAAGACTCTACTATATCAAACTGACTAGGTTCCACTTTAGTTAAACCTTGTTAGTATGGTTCGACTGTAGTTGAACCCAGTCACTATGGCATGGTGGTATCAACGCTGTCCTGCGTGTGAGGAAGATATGGAATGACATTTTATCTACGCCATAATTATTTTCGCTAAGACTGCGAGTTTAGTGTAGAGGATATAACTCTTATGTATTAGTTATCTTATGTATTAGTACCCAGCAAAAGATTTAATATATCTGGTATTTTCACCGATTTAAAATAGCTGTCATTCTTCAAAATGTGGGATATAGCCAAGTTTATCAGGCACTTATCAGGCTGGCTCGTTTTTGCTTTGGTGTGTGAGTTGCGTATATTCTCTTCATCGTTGACTGTGTACCGATTATTTTTTATACCTGTTTTAGTATTTCTCTTGATCAGACGTTGGAGCAAAGTTTTTAGCCATGGTATCATAAGAGACTTTTATCTCTGTTTAAAAGAACTTTGATTTGTAAGGTTGCTACTGCAATCTAACCCAACCTAATCGATGGGTTATGATTTGAAATTTTTTATTTATTTGTTGCTTTTGAGCACTACATCATACAATTGAGTTTAGTTAAAGGACTATATAATATACTAAACTAAGAAGAATAACATAAACTTTAATGTACATGCTGTCGCCATAAGTTCCACACCGTTAGTTCTATTAATTGTTTTGATGGAATAAATCAAAAATTATTGTTTATTCCCATTTTAAAAGATTCGTTAACTTATGAGACGTTTATAAAGTTAAATCCAACCTTAAAAAATTTCCCAATTTTTTGAAAGCCATGGAAATCTATTGACAGATTAAAAAAATTGCTCTAAATTATACTTAAACTGAGTATAATTTAAAACCAATTTTAGAGTTTTTATTTTATTTTCTTATATTAATTTAATTTTATTTACAAATAAAAATTTATTAAACTGAAATTAACTTTTTGTTTAATATGTGGGCACTGCATATTTCACTGACCTATTCACTGAAATCACATTCGGACTAAAGTCATCGTGAATCGTGTGATTGAGGAATTTAATCCATTGCGATAATTCACGAATGGCTTTGAAAACTAGCGTTACAGTGCAAAGAGTTCCATAAGAATATATACGAATTCCTTACCAAGCACTCGTAAGATGTATATGGAAATATAAGACTTATACGAATCGTTTAAAAGCACTACATCTTTCAAAACTGAAAGCTGTTCTTAAATAAAGTTTCCTTATTTTATATTTGAAAGAAAAGATATCTTTCACACCTTGTCTATATCTTCGATTTTAAACAATTAAGCAAGGATATATATAATATATCATATATGCGATTAACAAGATACGTTGCAGTTCACTTACGTACTCTAATCTCTTTATTTTTTATTTAAAAATTGCAATGCTTAATTTACTGAACTAAGACACAACATTACTCTGGTCTATTGTACTCTTACATAAAAAGCTCATAATCTATAATATAGGTATATCGTAAAATAATATAATAATATTATAGATAAATTAATAATATTTTATGCTGCGACCAATCAAACAGGTTTGCGGATTCATAACTTATATAAGTTTACATATTTATAAGAGTATGAAGATGACTTGATAATACTATACAGTCAATGACCAGGGTTGCGTTCCACAATAGTTTCCAATAACTTTTTTGTTGCATGACGCCTCTTTCCCAACAATATAAAAACTTGTATCTTAGTTTGAAGCATTACTTCGTTCACATTTAATTTGGAGAGTTTTCTAACTTCAATTTCGCTAAGGGAGCCAAGCACTTCCAATATTTCATTATTAAAACTGATAATACCTTCCAGAAACGAGGCCATAATTTCATCCTTGTATGCCAAATAGAATGCCTCATTTGCATTTTTGACTATGCGCATAACAGTATCAAAAGGTCTTTGAATGTCGCGCAAGAGACGTATAACCAGTAAAAACCTTTCGTCACTTTTGACCAGAACCACGGCATCTGGCAAGCATTCTGGACGTTCCTGCTCAATTTTAACGAAGTCACTTATGATTCTTGTTACGAAATACTTCAAGGCAACCATTGGGTGTGTGTAACTACACAATAAGCAAATTCGTAATTGGCTGTCGTTGTAGAACTTAGTGACGGACGTCATATCACCTGAGTTATCCATATTTATTAAGCAGAATACACGCTATGGACCAAGCAATAAGGAATCTGGATGAGCTAGTAATGTAAACACGTTTTCTCTGAAGGAACTGAGAGATATCAGTTTGCTCTAAATGCTAAAATAAAAATGAATTGCAATAAATGAGGTGTAAGATTGAAGTTATAAAAATATACTTACTAGTTCAAACTTTAATTACTTTAAATTCACAATAATTTTATATAACTTAGCAATAATTTGACAATTTTGACACCAATAAACAGGAGACTTTTCGCACGAAGGTTTTGAAATAAGTCCTTAAATGTTTGAATGTTCAATAAAATCAGTAATTCTTAGTGACTAATTATTATTTAAAAATAGGCTATTTGTGCACCCCGACCTAAAAGATCTATTGTGCGCCTAGTGACTAACTTTTCTTTCAATTCGTTCGTCAAAATATAAATTAGTATTTAAAGTAAAATTTTTCGAATTTTTCGAATTTTTCGAAGATATTGTGATCGAAAATATTTTCTTTGATTAAACTAAATATATAAAGTAAAAAAAGTATGGTTAGAAATTAAAATTAAGAGATCAAAGTTTAAATCTAAAAAGCATATAATATATATATCTAAACATTATATATATATAATTTATATATACAATAATAATATTGTATGTATATAATTTATATATATAATAATAATATTATATATATATAATATTAATATACCAAATTTTATATACATATATCTACATAGTATCTAGGTTAAGTATGCACCGTCGAGATTTACGCAATAATTAGTATAGGGAGAGAGACTTTTTAGCGGAAATAGGTTCTACTATAGCATATTACCTTCCTGATGGTTTATGAACTATTTCGTTTTTCTCAATTTTCTGTTGTCCAGAAATTCTGGTATCTGTTGTGTCATTTAATTAAAGGGGTTTAACGTCTTCTGCAATTTTGATGTTACTTTAAAAATATGTAAAATGATTTACTTAGTCTTTAATTGAATTGTATGATTAGAAAACCATATTAGCAGCCTAACACTCAACAACTCTATAGAGTTGATAAAGAATTTTTAGACATTCATTCTAATTCATGTTGCAAATTGGGGCGAGTTTTAATGGAAAGAGCAACTGAACTGCATACAAAATAGAAGAATACAAGAAGACTAACCTCAAAAATTTGTAAAGCATAAATAAGAAGCAAAATTGTTACCTAAAAATTCTGTGTATACATTGGCTTTCGATTGCGAACAGAAACTTTCGAATTACACTACGTACTTGAGTACTAGGTACCGACGACCTATTTGCAGTATCATTTTAGGGACATCAAAATGCTTGCATATGCTGCATATTTATTTTGACTTTGTGCATGTTGCTAATACCTAATTGAATTTAAGAACTGTTTTACTTGCAACAAATGCAATAAAATCTACAACTACAACAACTTCGATAAATGCAACAATAGCAACAATAGCAACAATTGCAACAATTGCAATTGCAAAAAATGCGCTTGTGACTTGCTTTGAATGGAAAGTATAAATTCAAGAATTGTCCTTGCACTGCAGCACAAACGCAGAGAATCGCATTTGCCATGCACAATGAGCTCATACATTGTGGTCAGTTTTTATTTTTCCTTTTCAATTTTATCATTTCATTGTGCCGGAAATAGACACATTCCGGAAACGAAAACTGTAAAATTGCTAAAATATTTTTTGTGCCTCAGTTTGCAGTTTTTGTACAGGTGGTTCTGTACAAAACTGGCGATTGTATTAACTCGACGACTTAACGTAATGTATTTCGTTTCAGCTTGTTTTGTGGTCTTTTTAAGACATGAAATTGATTCCAAACACATTGGTAATATTATATAAAAAAAACCAAAAAAAAAAAAAGAATTGAGTTTTCAAAAGAACGAAAATGAGAATGAATTAGAATAGAATGGGTTTGGGGCGAATTGAAAAAAAAGAAATAAAAATTGGCCAAATTATCCCATCTTTTTTTTTTTTTTTGTTAATAACAAAAACACGATTTTGTTGCCAAAATTGTTACAGCTTAGCTTAGCGTTCACAACTTTTGAAGACTCCACCTTTTCGTTGTTAGCCGCTTTCAACATACAATGACTTCACTAAACATTTTCCTTCAATTCATTCAGTCGCCTTCGCTTTCGCCTTTTTTTGCATTTCACATTATTCTGATTTTGTGATTTTGTGATTTTGTGATATTTGATTTTATTTTGGCCTTAAGCTTTACTGAATTTTTATTTCATTGTTCGCCTTGTAAACTCCATCCGCACTCCATTTAATTTCAGCTCCTTTCTACTTTTTCTATTCGAAATTTTCTCTAAAATTTTCAATTCTTCTCTTTGACAATGCAGGTGGCTTTTTATCGAATAGTTTGGCGATTGCAACAGATGCTGCACACTTGCTAACAGATTTTGCCAGTTTTATGATATCATTGTTTGCCATCTGGATTGCGGGACGGCCATCGACACAGCGGTAAGTTTTGCACATAAGTTAACTTTTTTCCTCGTTTTTAGATATTTGGTGTCCCTGCCGTAGCAGCGTGTACACCAGTGACACGCACGTACGAACCCCGATACAGTCATGCATCGCACTTAACAGTGCCAATTCTATTCTATTCTAAATTTTTGATATTACTCCTGAAAAGTATCCATTAACAATTATTCATGGGTTAAACTGCTTTGTGTTTTAAAGAGTTGCTTGTCTTTAGTTTATGTATCATGTCTCCAAATATACTCTGATATAGCAAACACAAAACTTTTATGAAATTAAGCAAATCCTGGCTGACCTCACTAATTACTGGACATGGAACCTAAAAGTATCATATCAAAAAAATAACTCTAGAAGAAAAAAAGACGACAGCGGTGCATATATTATGCCAATGTCCAGCACTGGCAAGTAGGAGGAAGACTGTCTTAGGGCAACATCAAGCAGGCAACCTCAAGCTAAATGAGTTGCTTGCATTAACAAGAGATGTAGTTATGCGACATCCGAGAATCGAAGGACGAAAAAGAATCCAAGTAGTTTTGTGATCTACTTATGCTAATCCTTCACTTCAGTGGGACCATTTGTTGGACGGTGCGCTTTCCCAACGTCCCACATTATAAATATAAGTGAAAGTCTATAGTAAACCCCTAAACAACAACATTTTATATATAACGTATGCTATATTAGTTGAAGTTGAGGGAGGTACGAGACCTCATCAATTAGATTTAATTAATTAAAAAAACGTTTTGATTCCACAATTTTTGGAAATTGTGGGTAGGAGAACCTTCATGCTGGAATTAGCCGGAAGGAAACATTGATAAATGGGAGAATCTAGCCAACGCTAGGGCTGCAAATATAACCGAGTGTGTTGAAGAGAGCGGCACCGATTTCAATCTATGTACGTATCAATGCTATTCTTGTGGTACCAAAATGGCCCATTATTTCGGATCAAGTGGGCTATACTTACCTAGCTAAACCTGGGCATAAACTGATGTAGCCCTTGCTCTGGCTGCTAAAGAAATATGAGCCCACTCCCTATTTTTCTGTCGCAAAAAAAATGGTCACAAATGAATCTACGGCTTTGACCGACAGGAATGTCCGTAGAAGACGCTTGTAGTCTGGCGAGTTTATCTCTATGCTCATTACCCATTTTACTGGAATGCCCTGGAACCCAAATTTGAATCACCCCACATGTATTAACCTGCGTTAATACATGTATGTTAATGCATTGTCTATATCCGTTTACTATTCTAAAAGAAATGCAAACTGCTTATATAACTTCAATAGCTGCTTAACTGTCAGTTTGGTAACATATATTCATATAATCTCTAGAACAACAAACCTAGAACTTTGTTCAAATTTTATAAAAATCTACATACATTGACTATCTTTTAGTCGGGGTGTATTCTGGTATCTAATAATAGAAACAGTTTATATATATCAAACCTCTTTTATAACTATGTAAAAATAAACCAAAAATGGTGTTTTAACATAGAGCATTAAAAAGTGAGACTATTCATAATGAATATATTTCGGTTGGGGTTAATTTTGGTCTCTAATAAAAATAACAGTTTATACATATCGTAACTCCATATAAGACTATAACCATTACAATTATTCTGATGGCTCTAATAATAAAAATTTGTGTTATTACTTCTCCATATGAACTCTGAAATAACAAACCAAAAACGATGTTAAAATCTTAAGACTCCAAAAAATAGAGAATTTAAAGAGAAGACTATGCATATGGGACCCATTTTTTAAACCATATCTTCATATAAATTTTGGAGCAAACTCAAAACTAAGTTGAAGGTTATTAAAAATCAAATTATGCAGGGTTAATAATTTAAATTTAAATTTATGAACAGTAACATCTAATAATAGTTCATCATATCTTCATACAGATTTTGAAAAATTGGAACCACAAGCTGTGCTGAAACTTCTTGAAACTCCAAAAAAACAGGCATCAAAAGCAGGATTATATAGAATTGAAATATAATAACAATTTGTACATCATATCTTATATATATCATATATCTTATGATGTATTGAAAATTATTTGGTGTCTAAATATATAGGGTAAAAAGTAAGATTATACACAATATAGATAAACTCCAGAACAAAAATGGTGCCAAAACTTGTTGACGATCTAAAAATGGATGGTTAAAAACAAGACCATATACATTAAATATATGTTCTGGTTATGGTGCATATTGAGCTCTGATAATAATAGATATTAGCATCTAACAATAATAAAAGTTTGTTTTATCATATTTTCATATATGGTAATATATGAAACAATAAATCATAAATAGTGTTGTAAGTTTTCAAAAGTCTAATTATGCAGAATGAACAATAAACTATACATAAGAAATCTATTTTGGTGGAAGAAACCAAGATCGTTTCTAATTACACTGAGTAACGAAAATGGGGGACTTTTATTTTCTTCTCTAATTTTCTCTATTTTTATTTCTCTTATATTATTAAATCTATTATCTTTTTATTTCTTAAATATTTGAGTCTTTGAAAACACCTTGTTAATATTAAAGATTTAGATCTACGAGGGGTTAATGAAAAATATTCTGTTTTAAATATTGCAAGATTATTTGGAATAAAATAATGATAGATCCCGGGAACTGATCAAAAGAGTCCACATAAACACTGCGTGAACACCAATGACCACTTGTTCACCCACACAGAGAAATTGCTCATTACTCATAATTCTCACTACAGACCTGCAGTTGTGGAAACCTACAAGAAAAAGAAACCATACAACACTTTCTCTGTGAATGTCCGGCTTTGCCATTCAGAAGAAATAGATTTATAGGAAGATTTTTTGGATAATTTATCAGATTTCCACGGGATGTATATATGTATACTCTAGTATACTCTTTAATCTTAGGGAATTCATCTTCCACGAGGAATGTGGTAGCAAAATAGCAAAAAATCGCTAATTGAGGTACTGGAAAGTTGTCTGACCAACCAATCAAACACTGCAAATTTTTTGTCTCCAGCGAATTTGCTACTTATAAAAAGTTTAGGCATTGTTCCCCAAACTGTCCTTCTCCTATTCCCAGAGGAATGATGCTTTAGATGTTTCTTAAAACTTATTTTTACAAAAGGATTTTGGAAAATATTAAAAACTCCCTTTTTTTGAGTGAAGAAAAAGAGAGTTTTGAGAAGGAGAATTTTGTACAGCACTGGGACACAGTGCTGTACATAACAATAGTTAATGTATCAAGCTTTCACTGTAATTGTTGAAAGTGGCTATAAAGGTGGGCGTGTTTAGTGTGGGCTTCTTTAAAGGTTTTCGGTAACAATTTAGCTTAACGACGAACTGCAGTTTTGTGCACATTTTCCGAAATATTTATTAATGCTCGAATGTGGCAAATGTGCAAAATGTGCATGTGCAATTGTTTGGCTGGATGTGCATTCAAACTACACATTTAGTTTGTTCTCTGAAAAATGACTTTCAATTATTTTATTTGATTTTTTATTTTAATTTTTCATTTTATTCTAAATTCGAAAGCACGAGTATAACAAATTTTCAAATTAATTGTTGATTTTCCTACGATTATGATGCAGTGGAAATGGGAAAGTTTATGCTCATACGTATGAGCGACATATGTTACGACAGCTCGGGAATGTTACGCATTCGTATGGATGCTTTTACTGGTACAAGAAATTGCATCGAAATGCAGGAAGTTGAAGCTCAAAATTTTATAACAAATTTTTTTTTTTTTGTTGATTTTCTACTTTAAAATACACAAATGAACATTTGTCTTTCAAGTGAAGAAAGTCTATGCTTTAAATTAAGGCTAGAAATTGTTGTATGGAATACACTTTATTGCACATAAGAATGGAAAAATCCCCCTATTTTTTTATTTAAAAATCTTTTTTATTTTTTTTTCTTCTTTCAATATAACGATGTTATTAAATGATGAATTAAGAAACCTAGGAAGATTATTATTGTTACTTTTATTATCAAAAGAATTGACATATTGACCATCTAATAAAAGATGAATACTATGAATACTAACCACTACTGCTAGTTCTACTGCCTATAGTTCTTAAAAAACTGTTTAACTACAAAAAGATGATGCCACTGCAATATACTTTACTACTTGAAGTATTAAAATAAGATCACCTTAGAGAAAGTACTCCCTCTGCATTGATTAAATAGGCATCGTTCATGTCACTGCTGTATCTTCCACTGTCTAAAATATTGAGACAGTGATTACTCATAAGAGATTAAGGCAACTATAAAGCGACCACCATTGTCTAAACAGTTTAAATACTTGATGTTAAAAAAATTTGTTATAAAATTTTAAGCTTCAACATTCTGCATTTCGATATAATATCCATTAATATCCAAGCATCCATACGAATGCGTAACGCCACCACGTTCTGTCACGAGCAAAGGATTGAGAAGGCAGAACGAGGGAATATAGCATCATCCACTGCCTGAAATATTGAGACAATGATTTCCCATAAGGGATTAAAGCAACTGTTTTGATCGCCATTGCCTAAACAATTTAGATACTGATTATATAGAGAAAGTTGGTTTCACGATTCCACCAGTGGTAATCCACTGGCTTAAGTATTAACTTAGTGATTACCCATGAGAAACTGTTTCCATTACTTCGACTTCCACTCCCTAAAAAGTTGAGATACCGATTGTATGAGAGAATATGACGTCACACTGCATCGTCTACTCCCTGAAGTGTTGAGTTAATGATTATCCATGAAAAACTAAAGGCACTATCGGGACTTCTACTGAACTTCTACAATTGAAATACCGATGGTACAAAAGGAGTTGATATCACTACTGTATTATTCGCTGCTTGAAATGTTAATAAACTTTTAATGTTGATTACTTAATAAAAACTTACGTTTTATTATTCCCGAATTATTCCTGTCACAAATATCTGTCAAGAAAACGTATCCCAAATCTTTGTGTTAAATTTTATTTATATAAAAAAAAAATA